TAGTCTAGTCTATAGTCTAGTCTATAGTCTAGTCTATAGTCTAGTCTATAGTCTAGTCTATAGTCTAGTCTATAGTCTAGTCTATAGTCTAGTCTATAGTCTAGTCTATAGTCTAGTCTATAGTCTAGTCTATAGTCTAGTCTATAGTCTAGTCTATAGTCTAGTCTATAGTCTAGTATAGTCTAGTCTATAGTCTAGTCTATAGTCTAGTCTATAGTCTAGTCTATAGTCTAGTCTATAGTCTAGTCTATAGTCTAGTCTATAGTCTAGTCTATAGTCTAGTCTATAGTCTAGTCTATAGTCTAGTCTATAGTCTAGTCTATAGTCTAGTCTATAGTCTAGTCTATAGTCTAGTCTATAGTCTAGTCTATAGTCTAGTCTATAGTCTAGTCTATAGTCTAGTCTATAGTCTAGTCTATAGTCTAGTCTATAGTCTAGTCTATAGTCTAGTCTATAGTCTAGTCTATAGTCTAGTCTATAGTCTAGTCTATAGTCTAGTCTATAGTCTAGTCTATAGTCTAGTCTATAGTCTAGTCTATAGTCTAGTCTATAGTCTAGTCTATAGTCTAGTCTATAGTCTAGTCTATAGTCTAGTCTATAGTCTAGTCTATAGTCTAGTCTATAGTCTAGTTATAGTCTAGTCTATAGTCTAGTCTATAGTCTAGTCTATAGTCTAGTCTATAGTCTAGTCTAGTATAGTCTAGTATATGGTCTAGTCTATGGTCTAGTCTATGGTCTAGTCTATAGTCTAGTCTATAGTCTAGTCTGTAGTCTAGTCTATAGTCTAGTCTAGTCTGTAGTCTAGTCTATAGTTAGTAGTCTATAGTCTAGTCTATAGTCTAGTCTATAGTCTAGTCTATAGTCTAGTCTATAGTCTAGTCTATAGTCTAGTCTATAGTCTAGTCTATAGTCTAGTCTATAGTCTAGTCTACAGTCTAGTCTATAGTCTAGTCTATAGTCTAGTCTATAGTCTAGTCTATAGTCTAGTCTATAGTCTAGTCTATAGTCTAGTCTATAGTAGTCTAGTCTATAGTCTAGTCTATAGTCTAGTCTATAGTCTAGTCTATAGTCTAGTCTATAGTCTAGTCTATAGTCTAGTCTATAGTCTAGTCTATAGTCTAGTCTATAGTCTAGTCTATAGTCTAGTCTATAGTCTAGTCTATAGTCTAGTCTATAGTCTAGTCTATAGTCTAGTCTATAGTCTAGTCTATAGTCTAGTCTATAGTCTAGTCTATAGTAGTCTAGTCTATAGTCTAGTCTATAGTAGTCTAGTCTATAGTCTAGTCTATAGTCTAGTCTATAGTCTAGTCTATAGTCTAGTCTATAGTCTAGTCTATAGTCTAGTCTATAGTAGTCTAGTCTATAGTCTAGTCTATAGTAGTCTAGTCTATAGTCTAGTCTATAGTCTAGTCTATAGTCTAGACTATAGTCTAGTCTATAGTCTAGTCTATAGTCTAGTCTATAGTCTAGTCTATAGTCTAGTCTATATTCTAGTCTATATTCTAGTCTATAGTCTAGTCTATAGTCTAGTCTATAGTCTAGTCTATAGTCTAGTCTATAGTCTAGTCTATAGTCTAGTCTATAGTCTAGTCTATAGTCTAGTCTATAGTCTAGTCTATAGTCTAGTCTATAGTCTAGTCTATAGTCTAGTCTGTAGTCTAGTCTATAGTCTAGTCTATAGTCTAGTCTATAGTCTAGTCTATAGTCTAGTCTAGTCTAGTCTATAGTCTAGTCTAGTCTATAGTCTAGTCTATAGTCTAGTCTAGTCTATAGTCTAGTCTAGTCTAGTCTAGTCTAGTCTAGTCTAGTCTAGTCTAGTCTATAGTCTAGTCTAGTCTATAGTCTAGTCTAGTCTATAGTCTAGTCTATAGTCTAGTCTATAGTCTAGTATATAGTCTAGTCTATAATCTAGTCTATAGTCTAGTCTATAGTCTAGTCTATAGTCTAGTCTATAGTCTAGTCTATAGTCTAGTCTATAGTCTAGTCTATAGTCTAGTCTATAGTCTAGTCTATAGTCTAGTCTATAGTCTAGTCTATAGTCTAGTCTATAGTCTAGTCTATATTCTAGTCTATATTCTAGTCTATAGTCTAGTCTATAGTCTAGTCTATAGTCTAGTCTATAGTCTAGTCTATAGTCTAGTCTATAGTCTAGTCTATAGTCTAGTCTATAGTCTAGTCTATAGTCTAGTCTATAGTCTAGTCTGTAGTCTAGTCTATAGTCTAGTCTATAGTCTAGTCTATAGTCTAGTCTATAGTCTAGTCTAGTCTAGTCTATAGTCTAGTCTAGTCTAGTCTATAGTCTCGTCTAGTCTAGTCTAGTCTAGTCTAGTCTAGTCTATAGTCTAGTCTAGTCTAGTCTATAGTCTAGTCTAGTCTATAGTCTAGTCTATAGTCTAGTCTATAGTCTAGTCTATAGTCTAGTCTATAGTCTAGTCTATAGTCTAGTCTATAGTCTAGTCTATAGTCTAGTCTATAGTCTAGTCTATAGTCTAGTCTATAGTAGTCTAGTCTATAGTCTAGTCTATAGTAGTCTAGTCTATAGTCTAGTCTATAGTCTAGTCTATAGTCTAGTCTATAGTCTAGTCTATAGTCTAGTCTATAGTCTAGTCTATATTCTAGTCTATATTCTAGTCTATAGTCTAGTCTATAGTCTAGTCTATAGTCTAGTCTATAGTCTAGTCTATAGTCTAGTCTATAGTCTAGTCTATAGTAGTCTAGTCTATAGTCTAGTCTATAGTAGTCTAGTCTATAGTCTAGTCTATAGTCTAGTCTATAGTCTAGTCTATAGTCTAGTCTATAGTCTAGTCTATAGTCTAGTCTATAGTCTAGTCTATAGTCTAGTCTATAGTCTAGTCTATAGTCTAGTCTATAGTCTAGTCTATAGTCTAGTCTATAGTCTAGTCTATAGTCTAGTCTATATTCTAGTCTATATTCTAGTCTATAGTCTAGTCTATAGTCTAGTCTATAGTCTAGTCTATAGTCTGGTCTATAGTCTAGTCTATAGTCTAGTCTATAGTCTAGTCTATAGTCTAGTCTATAGTCTAGTCTATAGTCTAGTCTATAGTCTAGTCTATAGTCTAGTCTGTAGTCTAGTCTATAGTCTAGTCTATAGTCTAGTCTATAGTCTAGTCTATAGTCTAGTCTAGTCTATAGTCTAGTCTAGTCTATAGTCTAGTCTAGTCTATAGTCTAGTCTAGTCTATAGTCTAGTCTAGTCTATAGTCTAGTCTAGTCTATAGTCTAGTCTAGTATAGTCTAGTCTATAGTCTAGTCTATAGTCTAGTCTATAGTCTAGTCTATAGTCTAGTCTATAATCTAGTCTATAGTCTAGTCTATAGTCTAGTCTATAGTCTAGTCTATAGTCTAGTCTATAGTCTAGTCTATAGTCTAGTCTATAGTCTAGTCTATAGTCTAGTCTATAGTCTAGTCTATAGTCTAGTCTATAGTCTAGTCTATAGTCTAGTCTATAGTCTAGTCTATAGTCTAGTCTATAGTCTAGTCTACAGTCTAGTCTATAGTCTAGTCTATAGTCTAGTCTATAGTCTAGTCTATAGTCTAGTCTATAGTCTAGTCTATAGTCTAGTCTATAGTCTAGTCTATAGTCTAGTCTATAGTCTAGTCTAGTCTATAGTCTAGTCTATAGTCTAGTCTATAGTCTAGTCTAGTCTATAGTCTAGTCTAGTCTATAGTCTAGTCTAGTCTATAGTCTAGTCTATAGTCTAGTCTATAGTCTAGTCTATAGTCTAGTCTATAGTCTAGTCTATAGTCTAGTCTATAGTCTAGTCTATAGTCTAGTCTATAGTCTAGTCTATAGTCTAGTCTATAGTCTAGTCTATAGTCTAGTCTATAGTCTAGTCTATAGTCTAGTCTATAGTCTAGTCTATAGTCTAGTCTATAGTCTAGTCTATAGTCTAGTCTATAGTCTAGTCTATAGTCTAGTCTATAGTTTAGTCTAGTCTATAGTTTAGTCTAGTCTATAGTTTAGTCTAGTCTATAGTCTAGTCTAGTCTAGTCTAGTCTAGTCTAGTCTAGTCTAGTCTAGTCTAGTCTATAGTCTAGTCTAGTCTATAGTCTAGTCTATAGTCTAGTCTATAGTCTAGTCTATAGTCTAGTCTATAGTCTAGTCTATAGTCTAGTCTATAGTCTAGTCTATAGTCTAGTCTATAGTCTAGTCTATAGTCTAGTCTATAGTCTAGTCTATAGTCTAGTCTATAGTCTAGTCTATAGTCTAGTCTATAGTCTAGTCTATAGTCTAGTCTATAGTCTAGTCTATAGTCTAGTCTATTGTCTAGTCTATAGTCTAGTCTATAGTCTAGTCTATAGTCTAGTCTATAGTCTAGTCTATAGTCTAGTCTATAGTCTAGTCTATAGTCTAGTCTATAGTCTAGTCTATTATCTAGTCTATAGTCTAGTCTATAGTCTAGTCTATGTGTAGTCTTAGGTTTAATGTTTTTATTGTTATATTTGTCACCTTGAATCAAATTTTAATATGAATTCTTCCGATTCTTAATATTTGCAACACATTTTGGAAAGGGACTAAAATTCAAAATATTTTCGAGATAATTGAGACGAATGTGTTCTGTTTTAATTGAGCATATAAAATAACGGGGATTTTTTTATTTCTCATTCAATTGTTGGGGATTTTTTAATAATAAAATACCCATGCTTAACGTGGCCAACTGGTTTTTAAGATTGCCTTGGTAGGCAAGTTGGTAGGGGGATGGAATAAATATTGAATTTGACAGGTGTTACATAGATTTTATTTTTTATCCAACACTTTAAAATTTTGCTTTTTATAAGTTTATATATTTAGCATTTCTACTTTGAAAAGTTACGAAATTATTCTTTCTTTTCAAAATCCCACTTTTTCTTGGAAATCATACATTTGTTTAAAAGACCATCCGGTCACGTTATTTATACCACCACATTACTATGCGTGAAGTTAAGTAATCTTATCAATTGTTTATTATACACAACAACCCACACTAAGTAAAGGTGACAATCGAAACGCCAAAAAATATTATTCTTCCGTTAGTTGCCAGTAAAAAATTGATATTGAAAGTTTGTGTAAAAAGCCATTATTTAGTGTAAAACTTTAATTATAAAAAAAATAAAAATATAACATAATGGATATGCATATGGATGACGGTTTGCCAACAGGAGCAATTATATCAATTGTTTTCGGTGCTCTTATTGCAACCGCAATTGTTGTCTTTTGGATTATTTTAATTGTTTGGTGCTGTTTGAAACGTAAAAATGTCTATAATCAAACGACAGTGTCACATTCAAGTATGTACTTTTTTTATTTATTTGTAATTATTTATGAGTTTTTATTTTATAAATAAAGTCTGAGCGGTAAGGGGGAATTTTGATATAAAACTATTTATTCAAACCGCAATTGTAGTTTCTAAGGCGGACTGATTTAGAACTTTTTTTTTAAATATTTACTCTAGTCTGGCGTTAAGATTTATAAGATCTGGAGTCGACACTCATTCTAAGAAACAATTCTGGTACTAATTTTTTATTCAATTATACGATTTTTTCCAATTTACCATCTTCAGATCTTGTTCTAGGAAACATATAACGCTTCTTTAGAACTATTTTGGATATAGTTCTTCCAACGATTTATATTTCAAATTGTTGTGATTAGTACCATTTTTTTCCAAAAAAGTGCAGATGTAAGGGCGACATCTGGGTTTAGTAATCTGAACTGGTTTTATACTCTGCGTGAAAATTTGTGTAATCCAGTGATGTTAAATTGCATGATCGTGGCGACCAATTACCACCAAATGCGAAAAAATACATTTAGGTCACTATCGAGTCTCTTGTGCGCTGAAAACATTGGTGATAAAATCTTATATACGGTCTTTGGAATGTAAATTATACTCCATTTATTTCGAAAAAAAACTGGCAATGAAAAATAACGTGTTCCAGCGTTTCACTGTTCTCTCCGCATGCTCTAAATAGTTTGAATCTGTTATTTAAAATTTGGAAAGTTTGCTTGCAAATCTGTGTGTCCACGAAGAATGAGAACTATTACCCTTACCTCGAACTTATTCAATCTGAGACGTCCTGTTTATCATTCCACTATTATATGTGCCATTTGGGATAGGTTAGGTTAGGTTACGTGTGTTGTTCGCTAGTTAGCGAGTTCACTCAGAGGCCTTGTGTCCCATTGTGATACCCTTGGAATTGCCATTCCCTTATGTTGAGAGAATGGTTTTCCTTTCTAATTTCGTTGACTACTTGGTTTTTGTGGTCTCTGTGAAAACCCGCCGGTATTTCTAATAAAACCGAACATGTTTACTAGTGACGGATCTCTGAGACAGTCCAGATCATGGAAAATAGCTTTACCAAGATAGAGTAGTCTGTAGTTGAAGGCTGGCAATCACATAGAAGGTATCTATAACGTGGGTAGCCCATACGTTCCGACATATGTCCAATAATACAGTGCCCAGTAATTATACCAGTTAGAAGGCTAATCGAGTTTTTTACTAAGAAAGAAGAGATTCTAAGTCCTATCCGTTGTAAGATTGGTCCAGAGCAGTTTCGATATTCTACAAGTGGCGATATTTGACCGTCTCACTCAAACCCCAGTCATCTATTAGTTTTGATAGGGTCACCAGGGGAGTGTGAATATCCCTTTGCGCAATGATTAAGTCTAGGGACGATCATTTCCCATTTTAAGTCGTTCAAGTCGAACATTATTTAGCGACCCAGACGACCCAAATTTATCATCCAAATTCTTAATAGCCTTCTTCTAAGAAAAAGTGTGATGCCCACGAATAACGGTCAATAGACCTAAAATATTTTAAAGTGGAGTAACTAAATCATCTCCCCCACCCCCCTCTTCATACAAAATGAATCGTTCTAATGTGCAGTTATCCGAAGTTTATATGATATATTACAATAAATGCATTTACTAATATTTAAAATAAATCAATATACGTCAACCACTTAACTAAGACACTATATAATTATATTTTTAATAAATTACAGATATCTTATCTTTTATAACTAAATAGAAATAGACTCCTCTTAAATTACAAATAAGGAAATGATTTGTTAAAATCATTAGTATTGATTAAAACATTGTGTCTAAAAGTACTAACTAAAACTAAAACAAATATACATTTTTCACTTAAATTTACCTATTTGTTAAAAACAAGTTAAAACAAGAAAAAATGTCCACCGATCCTCATGTAGCTTCCATTATTATGATCACGGTATTCAGTTGTGTATTTGCCGGTCTTGTTTTATTCATTTTATATTGTAATTGTATTCGTCGGAAAGTCTATTATAAACAGTCGGAATTATTTCCAAAAAGTTAGTGAAACCTTTACATATTTAGTTAGTATATGTGAAAATATTAATAATTTTGAAAATAAATTGCAATTAATAAGTGTAACGTTCTAAAAATATGTTAAATCATAAAAACTTTTCAAAAAAAATTGCTCATATGGCAGTTTAATTATAATTTTCGCACAATTCTACTTATCTTTTAGCACACCTATAATTTTTGATTGATCTAAGAAAAATATTATAGTGAGTCATGGCCTTACACGTTTTTAAATTAAATGACTCATTTTACCCAGAAAATATCTGAAGTAAAAACTAATCTAAAGATATTTGGTTTGCGTTTTAATCTGATTTTAATTGGAAATTAATATATGTATGAAGGTATTATCGTCCGATGTACAATAACTCAGTTTCGTGGATGTAAATCCAATCAGTGTTCCGGAATAATTATTACTCCTCAAGATATTTTTGATAGAATTTCGACGGAAACCTTACGAATGACAAAGAAAGTGCACTGTCCTCTCAACATGCTGTAGATTCGTTGTATAGTTGTGACCGTACTCCTGTATATCCACTCAAAATACTTACCATCATACTTGATCATTTTCGTGCTGCCTATAGGATTTTCTGGTTCTACTCACCGTTTCATTGTTACAAGAGGCCTTTGGAATTTTCATCTCCCATATTTTCAATTCAGCCCACGTCGAGTGGTTTTGCGTTCGTTAACTACTACTAGCTCTCTTTCCTTTAAAGTGAGTAAATTCGCTCTCTTGTTGTCGACTACTTCCGAGAGGGCCTGGTAACACGGTCTTAGCTTTACCTTATCACCTGATATCGTCCTAAATGCCTTCTAATCCAATTTACGCATTCCGGTATTGTATGGACTTTTGCCTGGAAACTAGTGTTGTGATTACGTAGACAGTAGTATATTTCAGGATCATTAATATAGAACCCCAGACCCGTTTTGTTCCCCAGTTTAGAGACTTCCATGTAGCAACAGATTCCTATGGGTATTTGCTATAATGTTCCGCTTGACCATGACAATCTATATGGGATCAGTGTTTCAAAGTTTCCGACATATTATGCCTCTGGTATGAGATTGGCTAATCCGATGTTTGTGTATAGACTTCTTATGTGTCCAGTATACTTTCATGACGTGTCCTATAACCATCTTTGGTCAGTTGCCTAAAGTAAGAGCCGATCGGATATAAGTTTCGCTTCATATCTTATATATACATATATTTCAATTGGTTTAATATCTAGCAAAATTTCAATATAGTTTAGTTTATAGACTAATCAATAGACTAGTCCATATAGTACAAAAAAGTCCATAGGACTAGTTAAATTCGTCATAATAGTCAAAAGAGTAGTATATATACTGGTTCTTAGACTAATTCTAAGTCAATCTTCTTATACTTGTCAATAGAGTAGTTAATAGACTGGTCAAAGGCGCGAAAATACAAAAGTCAAGAAGAAGTCATTAGACTGATCCTTAGACCACTTTATAGTCTAATCCATAAAGGTTGAATAGTCGCTAGACTAGTCTTTAGATTAGTTAATAGACAAATCATCAACGAAGTCCATAGATTAGTATATAGATTAGTACACAGACTGGTTCTTAGACTTGACCTAAGAATAGTCCTTTGACTAGTTCATAAATTAGCCAATATTATAGTTCATAGACTAGTCCAAAGACTAGTTCATAAACTAGTTAATATACTATCAAAAAGACTTGTCAAATGACAAATTCATTAACTAGTCAAACGATCAGTCAATATGGACATTAGGCCTGTCAATAGACCATTTAATAGATTAATTAATAGACTATTCCTTAGTGTAGTCAATAGACCAGTTTATAAACTAATCCATAGACTGGATTTACTATTCTGACTGACTATTCGCTAGTCAATAGACCAATAATAAACAAATCCTTTTTCTAGTCAACAGACAAGTTAATAGATTAGTCCATAAAATAGGCTATATGCTAGTCAATAAACTAGTATCTAGTAACTTGTACCAGTCAAAAGACTAGTAATAGACTAATCCATAGTATATAGAATAGTCCATAGTTAATTTAGCCTAATAGTCCTACTAATTGGCTCTTTTGAAAATGATCAATAATTTCACCTGGTCGCCTTAAAGCTTCCACATTAACAAAAACACTTGCATTTAAAATTTTAGTAGCCAACACTTAAAGATAGTTAAATTTCTATAGTTGGCAACACTAAACAAAAGAGACTCAAATCTTTCACGTCAAATAAACTCTCACAATATCATTGTTTTTTCCGTTATTTGCAAAAAGCAAACGAAATTTCACGAAATGTTTTTTTTTTTTTTTCGTTTTTTATCGCTTTATAGGTATAACACATTACTATTTTCCCTTATCTAATAACACTTTCTGTGCATTTCCATATTGTTTTATTTGCCATGCCATTATCAAATTTGTGAAATCTCAAGCTGTTTATGATGGTTTCACCAAAACAACAATGAATTGTTTCGATTAACTTTTTTGTAAAATGCCTTAAATAGTACTTAAAATTAGTTACTCGTTTAAAACATTTAAATGTGCTATGAATTTGACATTAATAATTGCGGTCGTTTTTAGTGTTTTAGTATTTTTTCTAACATCAATAGCTGTATTCTTGACAAGAAGAAAAAATCATCGAAATGGTAAATTGTGTTAAAGAATGAAAAAGAATTTTAAAAGTGATATGTGATTTGTGGACCTACTGTATTCCAAACTTACTTTTACTTAAAAAATTACTAAAATCAAACTATATATGTATGTATATACAATCTATTTATGTGACTTACCCCCAATTTCACCACCACCAGTTATCGTTAACTGGTAGTTATTCTTCCAGTTAAGACAATTTTTGTATGAGAACTGTCAATATAACTTAAAGTTCAAAAATAACTATACATTGTGAAAATGGGGGTTAAAGTGTTTAGCGGAAGTGTATTTCGAAGAAATCGTTTTAAAAAATCGGAATTTTGAAAATTACGTTTAAAAAAAGTCGAAAATTTTCTTTAAGATTCAATTAAGTCGAATTTATTTCTATTACTAATATCACAATTATGGACCTTAAGTATTCTCAGATAAGAGTCCAAGGAAGGACTACGGCATTAATCCCAAGACTGCAAAATGGTTATTGGACATGGAAAAATTTGGAAAGATCCATCTACTGCAATTATATTGATTTGATCACTTGCACGCCATTACATGATCTCTTTATTCTCAGGCAGCCTGTCGATCTCATGGCCAAGTAATTACATCTTGACTGTTAGACACAACGCTGTTGAAGTCTGAAAGTTTAACTATATCGTTCATGCGTCCATTGTACTAATGGCTGCAAATCTTTAACAGCGGCTTCTACAAACCCCATTTATAACAACATGGTTTGTTTCAGGCTTAACGATTGCTGTAGCATCTATTAGGTCGAGCTTTTGGCCATGAAGTACTAAATGTTAAACAATAGAAATATCAGAATTTGTATCAAACATCCAAAGTGATTCCCGAACCTCTCCCTGTGAGATGGCGAACCACATAATTACTCTGAGTACCGGGAAATCGACATAATATTTGGTTTTGCACTCTCATGTTGTAAATCTTTCATACAGCAGAAACTTTTTAGGTCTGCTCAGAGCAGATGGTCATCTCTGACGACATCAATGTTGATCTGGCCTCAGTATGATGGTTAACGATATCTAAGTTTGTTGGGATTTTCGGTTGTAGCGGTCACTAATCTTTCATTTACTAACTACGGAAGAAGTTGTCATAACGAGGAGTAAGAAGAAACTATGAGGAACTTCTGATCTGCCTCCGTCCTGAGAACTTGGGTAGTCCGACAATGCATGATATAGCGCTTCTTTCTAGTACATACATAAACAATATACAGTCGTTTATTCGTGCCTGTGGATGGTTCGATTTCATGTAATGTATGGGTGGGTGGGTAGTATTTTAGTCAGACATTACATCCGCAGTAGTAGAAACCACTTAAGATCTATTCGAAGGATCCGGTAGTACGGGGTTTATACGATATACAAAATTTTAACAAGTTTCAAAAGCATTTTATCTTGAACATATGGAGATCATTCTACAACTTTGAATCTGTACTTTTACATTTTACACAGATGTATATTGTTTAAACGAATAATGAATAGATTTTAAATAGAACGGTAAAAGATGATCCATTAGACTTCTTCTATTTCTAGAAGTCATAACTGTGCAGTAGGGTATAGCAAAATAAAAATAACAATTAACGAAACCTTCTTGTATGGGCAATGTTATTTTTCCACAATTGATAATATAAACAAAAAATATAAAATCAGACAACTAACTAATGTATAGGTAACTAACTATATATATATAGTAGATGTTATTGGTATACATACCAACGTTCGTTTCTTATCAATTGCCAATGAAAATCCTAATCTTTAGCAAGTTTTATCGCTCCGATATTATTTGCTGCTTTTTTTTACCCATACAAATAGTATAAAATTAATAACACTCGCAAAAGTACATTTATATTAAAAATTTAAATCAAAATGGATGGATTTATTATTGGATTGAGCATTGGTTGCACTATATTTGTTATAACAAGTGCAGTGGTTTTAATACGTCGACGAAAGCGCAATAACCGTTATCCGGGTGAAGTTATAGCAGGTAAACGCGATGTTTAGGAAACACGCAATTTATGGGTATTAATGGATAATGACTCACTTCTTCTTTCAAACACAAAGCTACTAAGTTTAGCATTTATAAAAAAAAGAATAAAACATTTCATTAATTTTATATTCTTCTGTCAATTTCAGCACCTGTGGTTGTAACATCTGCTACTCATACAGCACCTGGTGGTTATCCCGTTACACAAATGCCAGTAGGGGCTACAACAACAGCGTATCCATCACAAGCCTATGCTGCGCCCTACCCTCCTCAGGGGTAAGTTTTATTATAGATATTTTAATATTTTATTTAAAATCATGAAAACACAATCTCAATTCGTCCCCCTCAATAGTCCTAGTACCGTTTATGTGGTAAAATCAAACTATAACCAAGAGATTCCAAGCAATCCTACCATTGTTATTACCCAAAACTGATGCAACATCAATGGCTGATTAATTTTTTAAATAAAAAAAACTAATGCATGTTTTTAAATTCTTTAACAAGTTGTTTTTTCCTATTTTAATATACTATTTGCCCCCATTATCTCAATGGGTTTAACATATATACTGGAAATAGTTTTCATTATTAAGCTTTAAAATAGTTAGTAACTCTTATAGCTAAATAATACTCAGTTCTTGTTCAATTCTACTTCAGTTTCTAGTTCAGTTCTTGTTCAATTTTTGTTCAATTTTTGTTCAGTTCTAGTTCAGTTCTAGTTCCAAAAAAATTCTAATTCAGTTCTAGTTCAGTTCTAGTTCAGTTCTAGTTCAGTTCTAGTTCATTTCTAGTTCAGTTCTAGTTCAGTTCTAGTTCAGTTCTAGTTCAGTTCTAGTTCAGTTCTAGTTCAGTTCTAGTTCAGTTCTAGTTCAGTTCTAGTTCAGTTCTAGTTCAGTTCTAGTTCAGTTCTAGTTCAGTTCTAGTTCAGTTCTAGTTCAGTTCTAGTTCAGTTCTAGTTCAGTTCTAGTTCAGTTCTAGTTCAGTTCTAGTTCAGTTCTAGTTCAGTTCTAGTTCAGTTCTAGTTCAGTTCTAGTTGGTTCAGTTCTAGTTCTAGTTCTAGTTCTAGTTCAGTTCTAGTTCAGTTCTAGTTCAGTTCTAGTTCAGTTCTAGTCTAGTTCTAGTTCTAGTTCAGTTCTAGTTCAGTTCTAGTTCAGTTCTAGTTCAGTTCTAGTTCAGTTCTAGTTCAGTTCTAGTTCAGTTCTAGTTCAGTTCTAGTTCTAGTTAGTTCTAGTTCAGTTCTAGTTCAGTTCTAGTTCAGTTCTAGTTCTAGTTCTAGTTCTAGTTCAGTTCTAGTTCAGTTCTAGTTCAGTTCTAGTTCAGTTCTAGTTCAGTTCTAGTTCAGTTCTAGTTCAGTTCTAGTTCAGTTCTAGTTCTAGTTCTAGTTCTAGTTCAGTTCTAGTTCAGTTCTAGTTCAGTTCTAGTTCAGTTCTAGTTCTAGTTCAGTTCTAGTTCAGTTCTAGTTCAGTTAGTTAGTTCTAGTTCAGTTCTAGTTCAGTTCTAGTTCAGTTCTAGTTCAGTTCTAGTTCAGTTCTAGTTCAGTTCTAGTTCAGTTCTAGTTCAGTTCTAGTTCAGTTCTAGTTCAGTTCTAGTTCAGTTCTAGTTCAGTTCTAGTTCAGTTTCTAGTTCAGTTCTAGTCAGTTCTAGTTCTTCTAGTTCAGTTCTAGTTCAGTTCTAGTTCAGTTCTAGTTCAGTTCTAGTTCAGTTCTAGTTCAGTTTCTAGTTCAGTTCTAGTTCAGTTCAGTTCAGTTTCTAGTTCAGTTCTAGTTCAGTTCTAGTTCAGTTCTAGTTCAGTTCTAGTTCAGTTCTAGTTCAGTTCTAGTTCAGTTCTAGTTCAGTTCTAGTTCAGTTCTAGTTCAGTTCTAGTTCAGTTCTAGTTCAGTTCTAGTTCAGTTATAGTTCAGTTTCTAGTTCAGTTCTAGTTCAGTTCTAGTTCAGTTCTAGTTCAGTTCTAGTTCAGTTCTAGTTCAGTTCTAGTTCAGTTATAGTTCAGTTGTATTTCAGTTCTAGTTCAGTTCTTGTTCATTTTTGTTCAATTTTTGTTCAATTTTGTTCAGTTCTAGTTCAGTTCTAGTTCAATTCTAATTCAGTTCTAATTCAGTTCTAGTTCAGTTCTAGTTCAGTTCTAGTTCAGTTCTAGTTCAGTTCTAGTTCAGTTCTAGTTCAGTTCTAGTTCAGTTCTAGTTCAGTTCTAGTTCAGTTCTAGTTCAGTTCTAGTTCAGTTCTAGTTCAGTTCTAGTTCAGTTCTAGTTCAGTTCTAGTTCAGTTCTAGTTCAGTTCTAGTTCAGTTCTAGTTCAGTTCTAGTTCAGTTCTAGTTCAGTTCTAGTTCAGTTCTAGTTCAGTTCTAGTTCAGTTCTAGTTCAGTTCTAGTTCAGTTCTAGTTCAGTTCTAGTTCAGTTCTAGTTCAGTTCTAGTTCAGTTCTAGTTCAGTTCTAGTTCAGTTCTAGTTCAGTCTAGTTCAGTTCTAGTTCAGTTCTAGTTCATTTCTAGTTCAGTTCTAGTTCAGTTCTAGTTCAGTTCTAGTTCAGTTCTAGTTCAGTTCTAGTTCAGTTCTAGTTCAGTTCTAGTTCAGTTCTAGTTCAGTTCTAGTTCAGTTCTAGTTCAGTTCTAGTTCAGTTCTAGTTCAGTTCTAGTTCAGTTCTAGTTCAGTTCTAGTTCAGTTCTAGTTCAGTTCTAGTTCAGTTCTAGTTCAGTTCTAGTTCAGTTCTAGTTCAGTTCTAGTTCAGTTCTAGTTCAGTTCTAGTTCAGTTCTAGTTCAGTTCTAGTTCAGTTCTAGTTCAGTTCTAGTTCAGTTCTAGTTCAGTTCTAGTTCGTTCTAGTTCAGTTATAGTTCAGTTCTAGTTCAGTTCTAGTTTAGTTTCTAGTTCAGTCTAGTTCAGTTCTAGTTCAGTTCTAGTTCAGTTGTAGTTGAGTTCTAGTTCAGTTCTAGTTCAGTTCTAGTTGAGTTCTAGTTCAGTTCTAGTTCAGTTCTATTTCAGTTCTATTTCAGTTTTAGTTTAGTTCTTGTTCAGTTTTAATCCCATGTACCTTATCAAAATTCGTACTTTCATGCCAAACTCTGTCTTATTCATTCACAAAAAAGGTTATGGTTTTTCTCTTGTTCGGGTCCTCCATTGGATCTTTGTAGTCTTACCCACCGTTCCATTATTGAATATAGTTCAATATTCCAAATGGAACCCACCGTTCCATTTGGAATATAGTTTAGTAGAACTCTTGAAACAATTAAAAGAAAAACTATGTAGCAAACAAAAGAGGAACATTTTCTATATATTTCTAAATCAGGCGCGGATCCACGGGGGGGAAAAAGGTAAATATCCAACCCAAAACCGAAAATTTTTCATACAAAATATACAAAATCAGGAAAAAGGAAAAAAATAATATAAGTAGAAAAACAAAACTTCCCCCCAAACGCTTCAACTGGATCCTTGCCTGTTCTAATTGTTTATCTCAGGAAAATCTTTTTGGTTAAATATGTATATTCCTTAAGTATGGCATATTATTTTCTAGAGGAAATGATTATTACCACAATTGTTTAACATAAACTTTTTTATTACTTTCTCTTTATAGAGCTCCTACACAAATGCCCATGCCAATGCCTATGCCTGCAGGTCAACCTCCAGTTGGGTAAGATTTAAATAAATTTACTTAAAATTGTTATTAAATTTAACTTAAAAACTGTATAAATCTTTTGCTCTTGCAGTATGCAACCTCATTTACCACCATATCCAGCGACTAATATGAATCCACCTCCCTATGATGTGGCTGTTAATTGTGCCGGTGCTGGGCAAGTTAACAATACTGGTTACCAAAAACAAGCACCCTACAATCCCAACTATCCAATGTAAACAAATGTTTTCCAACATTTCATTTTTCCATACAAACTAGAGATACAACCAACGACTTTCAAAAAACAGAATGAGGGAACTTTATTTAAAGACTTGTTAGAGAAATAGCAAAAATAGAAGTTGCCATAACAAGTAACAAATAAATAATTAAAAAATTAATTATCTTATATAGATATGTAAATTTATTGAAAATTTTATTAGACAATATGTAATTGCTTAAAAGCTATTGTTTAAATCTTTTTTATAAAATTTGTATTCACTAAAACACAAAACATTTTTACAAACAGTCAAACAAAGAATGTCGTCTATTCCATGTTACAAAAAAAAAAAAGTTTTACCAAGTATTCCAAAAAATATTAAATTAAAATAGAACATAATTTATAATTTTATTATCCTAAATGTTTATGTAATTTTTAATAAAAGTTTATTAGCTTTCATTATTGTGATATCCTTTTTTTTCGTGAATTAATAAAAAAAGGAATTACTTATTTTTTATTTATTATTTTTTTAATTTTTTTTTATTAAAACATAAAACTTTTATACAAGTATGTACGAGTATTGTTATTATTATTTTTTTTAATTTGCACAAAAACTATAAAAAAAATCGAATAAAATATGAAAAACAGAAGATGAAATTAATTGGAATTGGATTATGTAGCTTCGTTTTAAAATGGGAACTTATTAACAACTAACCGGTAGTACTTTGCTTACCCTATCGAAATTAAATAAAAACTAATAATTAAAATATATATTGGGTGTAAAACATAAAAATCACGATAGATCTTTTAAAAATCTGCTCAGACATCACAGAGGACCTGTGCCAAATATAACTTATTCATTTGAAGCGAATATTGCCTGAAAACTCTTTGAATATACGGCAAGGCAAAGTGAAATATAAAAGTCCATTTTCTGGTTAAAATAGGGGAGCTAGGGCCAAAAGGATGAAAATCTCTGATCACTTGTATTTCCTACCAAAACTCGATTTTTGAGTGAAAACATAAAAGTCAATTTTCTGGCTAAACTAGAGGAGCTAGGGCCAAAGGGATGAAAATCTGTAATCACTTATATTTCCTACCAAACTCGATTTTTGAGTGAAAACAGAAAAGTCAATTTTCTGGCTAAACTAGAGGAGCTAGGGCCAAAGGGATGAATATCTGTGATCACTTGTATTTCCTACCAAAACTCGATTTTTAAGTGAAAACATAAAAGTCCATTTTCTGGCTAAACTAGAGGAGCTAGGGCCAAAAGGATGAATATCTGTGATCACTTGTATTTTCCTAATAAAACTTGATTTTTGAGTGAAAACATATAAGTCCATTTTCTGGCTAAAATAGAGGAACTGGGGCCAAAAGGATGAATATCTGTGATCACTTGTATTTCCTGCCGAAACTCGATTTTTGAGTGAAAACATAAAAGTTCATTTTCTGGCTAAAAGGATGAATATCTGTCTTTTATCTTTATAACTTTTATGTCTTAATAATACTTGATATTTGAGTGAAAACATAAAAGTCCATTTTCTGGCTAAACTAGAGGAGCTAGGTCCAAGAGGATGAACATCTGTGATCACTTATATTTCCAGCCTAAACTCGATTTTTGAGTAAAAACATAAAAGTCCATTTTCTGGCTAAACTAGAGGAGATAGGGCCAAGAGGATGAATATCTGTGATCACTTGCATTTCCTACCGAAAACTCGAACGAAATGTCCAAGTAAGGGAGCATGCAACAGGACCGATCTTTATAACTTTTATGTCTTAATAAAACTTGATATTTGAGTGAAAACAAAAAAGTCCATTTACTGGCTAAACTAGAGGAGCTAGGGCCAAAAGGATGAACATCTGTGATCACATATATTTCCTGCCGAAACTCGATTTTTGAGTAAAAACATAAAAGTCCATTTTCTGGCTAAACTAGCGGAGCTAGGTCCAAGAGGATGAATATCTGTGATCACTCGCATTTCCTACCGAAACTCGAACGAAATGTCCAAGTAAGGGAGCATGCAACAGGACCGATAGAGAACTGCGTACAAACATATCTTCATGATATGATGTTTATAGCATCGTTTTCTTCAACCGAATGCCTTCGTTTGCCTTTAAAAGTTAAGAAATCCAGCATAAAACAAAATATTCATTAATAGAGTTTTATAAACTTTCATTTATTTTGTCCATATAGTTAGTACATTGGGTTATATTCATTTTTTTTAATTATATATAAAATATTTATCAAAAAAGCATAAAATTTACAAAAAGTATTCGTTTTGTTTTCGTTCATAATTGATACAAAATATAAATTTATGTGTAAACATCTAAGTTTTCTTATACAAAATGTTCAATTATTTGAGTTTATAAAGAGAAAAGATACATTCGTTATATAAAAAATCAGTTAATTAATACATACAGTTTTGTTAAAAAACAAAGACAATAGAAACAATTGACTTGTGGGTATACAAAGTTTTTTTTTTTTAATTCTTCACATAATTCACTTTGTTGCCGCCATATTTGATTGTGCATCTACAATTCCAATGGAGGGATATAAGCTGAAAATTAAAAGGATTCAATTGCAAATTAATAATAATATGAAATTCTATGTTTCTATTTATAAGAAGAAGAGATAGAGCAAAAACAACGTTAATATGTGATCAGTTATATTTAGGTTAGAAAACTTGCCGAAAACATTCCCCTCAATTGATTAAAATTTTCTATCATTCTCGGAAATTTATTTAGGTTAGAAAACTTGCCGAAAACATTCCCCTCAATTGATTAAAATTTTCTATCATTCTCGGAAATTTATGAAATATTTCTCTGTACACTATGATGAATTGAATTCCAACGGATTTGTTGCACAAAAGTATAGCACAGACTGCAGCCTTAAGGCTAAGTACCTCAGGAACAGGGTCCTAAAGGGTATTTGATCATAGATTATTGCACTCAATAACTTTTTTCACAGAAACTACGATTACGATCTATCGTATGACACTTGTTTGAAAGAAAGTCTCTCTCCTCTCAGCCTTTCTGTATATATAGGCGGCTCGAAAAGAGGCCAGCGTTCACGCTCCATAATGAATGTAATATACATCAGGCTGAAATTTCAGCCATAAAAAGAGCATCAATATTGGTTCAGAAATGCCGGGCATCCTTAAATAGAATGGCGATACATTCCAAAATTGTTCTAACGTGGGTTCGGGGACATGGGGATTGCGCTGTAAAGTTGTAAATTTGGCATACATGATTGACAACTTGGAATGCCTTATAATGATTTCTATAAGAGTTGTCATGATGAGGAAGAAGAAGAGTCAATACTGCTTTGCATTTGGAGACATACGATCTGAATATTTAAGGCAGAGATTCTTTGACGACTTGTCACAATTATCTAACATAATGACTTTATCAGACATTTCAACTGGTTTGGGGACAATCATCCATGATTGCACCAAAAATGGTGTTTGCTTGAAGTCTTGGGACTCCCTCAACAAGCTCTATTTTTCTATTCTCCTACTTATTATTCTTCTTATTTCAATGCAGTTTTCTTCTACTCGTAATTTTACTTTAAACTTTATTGACTCTCGCCATCTTCTATTTTTCTTTTTAATATCTTTTCAGGTATCACAAAGGGATCACTAGGACCCAAGGGTGCGTTAAGCAATCTGTGTTATCTAAACTAAAATACAAATTAATCTAGGAACTAAGTTTATAATCCATAAAGTTTTACAACATTTTAGAATTCTTCACTAGAATTGGTCCATAATAGCCTTTTTCTCCATATAATCCCTATTGCAAGGATTGAAATTAGTCTTAATTCCTTAGTGTTAATCATCATTATTATCATAAAATTATAATAGTTTTGATAATAGGACAAGTAAATTTTTTATGTTTTAGTAAAATATAATAATATTAACCCATAAACTGTAAAGGTCCAAATAAAATTATAGAATATTAGTAAATTTTTATGAAACCGTAGTGAAATATTATTTAACTTTCAACCGATTTAAATACATATGTATTATAAAGGTACATATTTAGAATGACATCAAAAAAATCAAAATTAACCCTTAAACGTATATATAAACATATATTTTTATAATTATATATAACTTCCGTTATATATAAACTAAATATTCAATGTCAATTTTGAATATTTTTGATCACAAATAGGAATAGATAAATCTTGAATTTTACACAAAAAACAAAAATAGGCATTAAAACAAGCAATTATTACTTTTAGTATGAAAATGTGGACGAACAATAATTAAAATTTTTATTATATTTCCTAAAAATTTTGTATGGTTTTATACTAAATTCGAGAAATTACAAAACAAACAAAAAAACTTTAACTTACTTTGGAATTGTAGTTGCCGATGCTGGCGGATATAACTGCTGTTGATTGTATGCATTATAATCTTTGGGAATTTGTGTTACAGGTGCCCCAGCATACGCCGTAACCGTGCCTAGTATAATAAACGATAGCAAACACAAATTTCATATTATTCTTTAAGAATCCAATTAATATCTAAAATTTCCTTAGTTCACCTTGTTCTGCTACAACCAGATTATCGACAGAAGCTTTTCTCTTACGTCTCTCGAAGATGTAATAAATTAGCCAAAAAATTACGAATATTTTTATGGCCACCAAAACCCATAGAGTAGGATTCATATCTTTACAGTTTTCAATAAAATAATACACAAATCACTTTGTATTCAGCGAGTTCTAAAGTATTTGTTGTTAAATATATTTTTGTATATGAAAAATTATTGCAAAAAATATAAATGATGCTCATCTGCTCTTGTTGCAGATTAAATTAAATGCGCACACAAATGTTAAATTAAGTTGCAGTGTTGTTTTGTTGCTGTTTGTCTCTGGTATTATTTGTGGTGAAATTGTTCTTCATTTAAAAAGCAGTTTCGTTAGAATCACCAGTGTTGTCATGTTTTAAATAATAAAAATTATTTCAAAAATTTTTAAGTTCAATTTTCGGTTACATTCATTTTTTTGCAATAGTTAATAGTTGCTTAGTTATTAATATAAAATACTAATTTTTAAAATATTCTTAGTAATTATTATTAGTTTTATTTGGCAATACTATTTCCCCACTTAAAAAAACGTACATTCATATGTTTAGTTCCCATGTACAGCTGTTTTCAAGAATTTTGTTTTGTGTGCATGATGACGTATACATTATATACTACGTCATATAATATAAATATTTGTCATACGCTGTGTATCCCCCATCGTTATTTAATTTTCACCACATACAAAAAGTATTAAACAAATATGAAGAAAAAAGTGGTGGGGGGCAGGGAAAGGGAAGGCGAAAACAGCGAGGGGAGCACAAAAGGGAAGAAAGGAGGCGGGGAAAAAGGGAGAAAGCAGAGGGGAAGAAGGAGAGGAAAGAAGAAAGAGAAAAAGAGAAGAAGAGAAGAAAGAAGAAAGGAGAACGGAGAGG